AAGAAAACCCAAAAAAAAAATTTTTAAATAATAGCTGTATTCTTCTTCTTCAAACTTTTTTAAATCGAAAAATTAGTTTGCCCATTGACTGCCAAGTCAATGTTTTTTAAGGCCATATTAACTTCCGAGTTTTTATATCAAAATGTGTTCGGAAAGAATCATAACGCTATTACTCATGCGTCTAAAGACATGTTAGTGCAGGATTGTACCACAAATCCCGCTCACTTTCTTAAGCATTGGATATGGCATAATCTATTCGCTAGAGACTACCGCTTTCCGAATCGAAGATAACTAATTCGAAAATAATATAAAAAGAAAAGCCATTTCAGTTGCTGTTGCTTGGGCTTGGCCAATTTAGAAGCTTAAGGGGTCACATGGGTCTCCTCGGGTAATCAGCATTTTTTCAACAATTTTTCTCATAAAAAAATGTATAAATACATTATTAACAGAAGAAATTCTGAAATTTTTGGAAAAAGATATTTTACCGGCCATTGTGACGCCATTTACGATTACCCTCGGAAAAACGATGCAGGATAACTCCTTACAAGATCATCTAAAGTTAAAAAAATTGGAGTTTTAGTTAAAGCCTTAACTTACAACTTGGACGAAGAAAAAAAATGAAAATTGAACTTTGGCAGACATTTAAAAAAAAATTAAAATTTCGCGACATTTTTTTTTTTTTTTTTCAAATCGTGGTAATAAAAAGTCCTTCGTCCAAGTCTTTAAGAATTTATCTCAAAGACCTGTGTAAAGTTTCATGAAGATCGGTCAGTAGTTCTCGATAAATCTTGCCAATCGACTTCAAAAACACAGTTTCGAGAAATACGCGTTTACAGACGGCGCAAGTTTTCAAGGCTGTATCTCCGAAACTGTTACTCAGACCAACTTAAAAATTTAGAACAATATTCTATAGGTGTTGCAGAATTTAATAGAATAAAAAACAAAAATTCATTTTTTGAAACCTTTAAATCCTTGAAGTCCTTGACAACTTTGAAGTCTGCTTTTAACGTGAATTACATGAATAGTAATATTTTCACTTAGCTAAAGCATTTTGATATTCCGACTCTCTAGAATATTCAGAGAACTTCCGCATGACATGGTCAGTCACATTCATGCTCTCTCTTCAAGTGTACCACCCCACTGATATCTAGTTAGTATCGCGTTAAAGACTGTAATTTACAGTTTACAAAGCTAACACGACACTAATAGCAAAGAAAATGGCATAAAACGCAAGGCGAGATTTACTAGTATAAAACTTGCCAATCCTAGCCTCACTCTTACTATTAAATGAGCACTGAGCAGCAAAGAGAAAATCACTTAAACTACCTAAAGTCAGCGAAATGCCTTAAGACGTAATGACGGTAATGAAAATGTGCAACAGTTACGAGCTGATTTCGTGCGCTGCGAAGTGGTAGAGGGGGGTGCAGAGGGGTATGCTAGTTCTTAGTAGCTCATCACACTTGCTTTTGTATGCTTTTATGTATTTCTTAGTTTACCAGCTGCTTTGGCAACGTTAAAATAGTTGCTTGTTTTGTGTCTGTTTCTTTGTTAGTGCGTGCCATGTGTACGTGCAACATTGTTGCGCAACATTTCTATGCACAAGCGCACGTTCGGCAACAATGAAGCTGTTGCTTGTCAGTCTGATTTGTTGCGACCAAATAAATGTAGCGCTGTTAGTGGATGCCGTGTTGTTGTTGTTGTTACTGCTTTTATTTGCTTTTTTGCATATAACAGTATTTATGTACGTATATACAATATATGTATTTTACGTTTTCCTTTCTTGCACTGAAATTAAGCTCTTAGCGCTCGCATTGCCTTTAATTTTCGTTTTTGCTTGCGTCTCGCATTTTCCACTCTCCGAGCAGTGCTACCTATGGAAATATGTATGTATATGTATACAGCCAAAGTGCACAATAATTTGCCACTAATCCAGGCCATTTGTCAAAGTTTTTCTTAGCTCATTTCTCAAAAGAAATGGAAAAATTAGTTTCACAGCGGCGGCGCGGCAAGCGCAAGAGTGGGAGGCAGCAACAGCAGTAAAAAGAAGCATCAAGTAATTAGCACGACAGCTGGAAAATGAAATTGTAAAAACAAAAAAAAAAAACACGAAAAACCCACTGCAGGCAGCATAAAAACTACCAAACAAAACCGATCCGCTTGACTGCGTCTTGCAACAATGTTGACTTAATATCAGCAATCAGTTGCGGCAGTCGAGCAATTGCGGGCAGTGAAAGTTTTGGAATGATTTCGAAATAACACGGTGTAAAATGCTAATAAATCAAAACGTTGTTTCTATTGTAGTTTTTGCTATCCCAAATTATATTTATACCTATGCAGTGGTAAATATTTGAAAGTGGCGAGAAAATGTGCTCGAAATGCAAATAACAGCAACCACAACAAATTTATAAACTCTGTAATGTATTTTGTGCAACGTAAACTCATTAATTAGACAGCCGCTGTATGTGGTAGATATGCATCTAACTTTATTATAAGTTTACTCTAATTTACTGACTAACATGGAGTGCACTGAAACGAACAAGCAACTGGTATAAGTCAAATACAAGCATAGCGGCACAGTCGGATGGACAGAGCGGTTAAAACACTTCAATTGGGTTTTTATACATCTTCTTGAATTTAACTCTAATAAGATGAGAAAATAACTAACTGGTAAATCAAAACATAAAACAAATTCTTCTTTGAGTGATTTTAGACAGTAGCTAATTTTTAGTCTATGTTTAAAATCAATCCCTAGGCGCCTTGGGTTATTTGGGCATCCTTGTGAGATCTGAAAAAATCAGTTCATCCTCTGTACTTTTATATTAATTCTTATCAAAATTTTTTCATGGTATAACTCAATACCTATAAATTTCATTTCAAGTATTAGAAAAAAGGTCGCGTGGTCCACTGGAAGAGAATCAATATCAAAAAATAAAGTGCAGAGTAGCTCTTTCGCTCAATTAGCTGCCTACGAAGCGATCATAATGTGCAATTGAATATATTTATACCATGTAATATTGAAAGCTCGGAATTCGTATATCATAGTCTAAACGAGATCCTCTTCCCCTAAGTGTCATAGCAAATAGTGTGGCCTGCTAGTATTATATAACTTTCACTCTCATTTTTACTGAGCATTCTGACCAACTTCGGAGATCGGATCTAAAAGCAAGAATTTCAGTAACTAACATTACAAGAAAAAAATTAAAATCTCAGAAAATTGTCATACCCATACCCACGATTTCTACCCTCCTAACAATCTGAAACCAAAAAAAAAAAATATTTCTCTAGAATCCAGTACCAGATATTATTCTACCGAAAAATAGAAAAAACAATTTTCACGAATTGGCGACATCCTGAAGAAACAAACAATTTTTTGACTCCTTTTTGACTTTACCAAATTTTTTAAAAATAGTAAAATTTTAAATTTGGATAATTCCAGACATACATAGATAAATCCTTAAAGAAGAATATATAAAAATTTCAGGTAAATCGTCGCTATTGTTTTGAAAAAAAAAAAACGTTTTGAGAAAAACGTAATTTTTTATACTAATTTTATTAAAAATGTATAGCTACTCTACCGAAAAATATTTTTCCTAAATATTTTCACACAACTTTAGGGTGCGATCCTGCAAATATTAAGGTAGCCTTAATAAATCAAACTATTGACCGAAATTTTGGGATATTAGCTATTGACAAGTCTGAGTGATTGCAAACTTTCAATTTCAACATTTTTGGGTTAATGATTAATTTTTCAATTTTTAAAATTTTTTTTCTAAAATTTGATGTTGAAAATTTAATTTTTAATCTCACACTTCTGTGATTAAAAATTGATAAATATAAATAATCTCAATGCGTAAGTTTGGCGAGTATTGAATATAAATGGTAGCAAACGAAGTAGTAAGCAAACGCGAAAAATTGCAAATTTTTAATTTAATAACATAATTAATTATCCAAATTTTTTCGATCCGATATTTGGGATTAAAAATTAAAAACCAGACTTCAACTAAATAAAAAATTATTTATTATTAATTTCACAAACATCACTTATTAATTTAATTACAAATTAATTAATTAATTAAAATTTAAAAACTAATTAATTAATTAAATAAAAAATTAATTACAAATGTTTTTAATTTTATTAAAATATAATTATTTATTAAAAACTTTTTGATGTGATATATAGTATTCAAAATTTGAAACAATGCTCCAACTAAATAAAAAATTTATTTTTATTAATTTAACAAATAACTATTAATTTAATTAAAAATAAATAGGTTGTTGAAGATTTAAAAATTAATTTCTTAATTTAAAATAATATTAATTTTAAACGATTTTAATTTAATTTGAATTAAATTAAAAAAAATTAATTTAACTAGCGAAATTGAAAATAATTTTTTAGTCCACTTTTTATTAATTTATTGGTATTTGGAAGTAAAAATTTAAAAAATTTTTAAAATAATATTTTGGGCTTTCAGAAACAAATAATTCAAATGTTAAATTAAATATTTTTTAATATACCATTTGCAACCCTAGCTATAATTAATTTTTCATAAAATATTTTGTATATGACTTAATGAATCGTACCAAATAGCAAAAATTAGTTAATGTGATTTTAAAAATCATATGGCAACTCTATGATATGATAAAGCGAGAATTCTCAACTAATTTTGTGGCTATTAAACTTTTTTTTTTTTGTTTTATAAAAGTTATAGGAAAGTTATGTTAATATAAATTTAAGGATTTGAATTTCTCACTTATCTTATCACCTACATTGTGCATTATATTTACATTTAACTGTAACATCTCACAAATATTCGAATATTATTTTTAATTCATAAGTATCGTGTAAAGAATCAGATATTTTGTATATAATTATATTTGAACTAAAGATCCATCGCATAAGATAAAATATATTTAACAAAAATATGTATATTTTTAATATTTCTTTTTTTGTAATTTTTTCAAGTTTTTAATTACAATTTTTCTCTTTGCCACAATTTCAGACAAACGTCAGTGGGCTCTGCTAATTACAAAGTGACACAATACTGCTGCTAAGTTGCTCTGGTATTATAGCAAAATAAGAGCCAACACAAAGCAGTAAACAACCGTTAACTCCCAAAGGCAACAAAATAATCAAACAGCAAGCCAACAAATAACAAATAACGGACACCCAAACGAACCGCCAAAGGATTCAGTGCGAGGACGTTAATTAATCACAAGCTTGTGCAGAAAACGAACTTGCCACAGCAACATTACTACTAATACATACCTACATGCAACACGCACACTCGGCAAACAAAGCAATCAAGCAATCAGCAACACGCCCAAAACAACCGCCGACACTGCAACAACGAAAGCTTAGCTGGGTATCATAGATTGGCTAAAGCAAGCTGACAGACACCAAAAGGCAACGGGTAGCTAACGGTCAGGCATTGCCACATTGCGGCGCACAATAGCGTGGAGTTAATAATACGCCTCTTGCGGACACTGGCACTGTAAGCGCAGCAGGCAATTATCGATAATAGCAGACAGTTGAGAAGCTGTAGCAACCGGAAAGTCAGAGTTGCACGAGTTGCACAAAGGTAAACGCGTGCAACACGAAGCAGCATTACACACACACACGCACACGCACACACGACATGTTAAGCCACATTGATAAGCTTGTGGCTAGTTGTTGTAGCAGCAGCAACAACAGCAATATGCGTAATCAACAGCATTATACAGCGAGTTGCGAAAGCCACAGCAGCGAAAACACAACAACAAAACACATTAACTCTGCGCCACAACAACAGGAACACAGCACGCGCTCTTCCATGTCACTGACGCTACTCACACAAACGCTATTCTTGCTGTTGCTGCTCGTAAGCATCTCGCCCACGGATGGCAACCCTGACTGGATGCAACACTGCAGCATGTGCCATTGCAATTGGAACTCGGGCAAGAAGACAGCTGATTGCAAGGCGCGCTCACTCACCGCCATACCCGACGATCTGAGCAACGAAATGCAAGTTGTGGACTTCTCCAATAATCTGATACCCGAGTTGCGGCGTGAAGAGTTCGCAGATGCGAACTTGCAGAATCTGCATAAGATCTTCTTGCGTAATTGCACGATACAGGAGGTGAACCGTGATGCGCTCAAAGGTCTACCCATACTCATCGAGCTGGATATGTCGCACAATTTCATACGCGAACTGCATGTCGGCACATTCAGTGGGCTGGAAAAGTTGCGCACGCTCGTCATGAATCACAATGAAATCGAGGTGTTGGAGAATTATCTCTTTGTCGACTTACCATTTCTATCACGCGTCGAATTCAAGAATAATCGCCTGAAGCAAGTCGAAGTGCATGCCTTCGGCCAGCAACCGATGTTGTCGGCCATCTACCTCGAAGCGAACGCGTTGTATGTGCTGCGCAAAGAGACCTTCACACGCATACCGAAACTGACGCATCTCTCGCTGGCGCAGAATCCCTGGAACTGCACCTGCGAACTGCAAGCCTTACGCGACTTCGCGCTCGCCAATCGTCTGTACACACCGCCCACAGACTGCGCACAACCGCCAGCGCTACGTGGCAAGCTTTGGACCGATGTACCATCGGAGAATTTCGCCTGTCAGCCACACATACTCGGCTCGGTGCGCTCATTTGTCGAAGTGCAGTCGGATAATATAACACTGCCGTGTCGTGTTGAAGGTACGCCGCGCCCAAATATCACCTGGATTTACAATCGACGCGCCATCAATCCGAACGATCAACGTTTTCGTGTGCTCAACTCGCTCGAACAGCAGCCAGTGATCAGCTCCGAACCGCTACAGTCGATCACCTCTGAGTTGCGCATTTTTAATGTGCGCGCCAGCGATAAGGGTGTCTACACTTGCATAGCGGAGAATCGTGGCGGCAAAGCGGAGGCTGAATTTCAATTGATCGTCGATGGTGACTTCTTTGGCGCGCTCGAAGGTATCGGGGTCGGCATGGGCGCCTCCACCACAGACACGCAATCGAATTTCTTACTCGTCATCTGTTTAATTGTCATCACCGTGCTGTTGATACTCATGTGCATTCTACTCATTGCCTGCTGGTATTGTCGGCGTGCACGCTCTTATCAAAAGGATGCGACCATGATGAGTGAGAATGGTTTGATATCGACGAAAATGGACAAGACCAATAGTTCGATGTTGGAGGGTTCGGTAATTATGGAAATGCAGAAGAGTCTGCTCACCGAGGTGAATCCGGTTGAGAAGCCGCCGCGTCGCACCGAACTGGAGAATGTCGATGGCAGCGATGAGGGGCATGAAATCAAGAAGACACTACTGGATGAATCACAATTCGGTGAGTAAATATGTCTGTGCCTAAATATACATACTTAATAACATATGTGTGTCTACTACAAGTCCGCCTAATCCAATTATCTACAAAACTAATTGAAATGCGTCAATTGCACATTGACTTGCCAGGCAAAACAGTTTGCTGCTTGTGCATGTCTCGTGCATCTTTGTAGCTCGCATTACCTCACAGTAATAAGCACTTGCCAGGCTTTTGATTGCTGACACATGCTACTTGTAATCGCATCTTAAAGGTCTCTCACTGAAATGCTTGACATTTCTATCATCAACATGCAGTGCTTAATGAAGCCACTTACCATTTGTCCTCTCGTTGCATAACTAAGCTAATGAGGCGTGTAGACGAGTGCTCGTTATTTGGCTCATCCAAAAATCCATCCATCAAACTTATAAATTGATTGCATTGAATGCTGCTCCATGCAGTATAGAGAGACTGATTGAGAGGGGCAGACATAAGATTAGTGTTCGAACTCATGACTTTTGTCATTTATTTCTCTTTTTAAAAAAGTAAAAAAACAATTTTTTTATTTAAAAGAAATATATCGATTTAAAGGTAAAATATTTATGAATACTATACTGATTTCGTATACATAAAATAACTATTAGTTTTCTACTTTGTTCAGCATTCGTCTCACAACTTACATTGCGAAGCCATTTCTTTTTTTTTTTTTTTATATGTTTATTATGTTTGTATATTATGACAAATTAAAGCATAGCCTTATTGATATTAGACCTTCTGATCTTTATAGTGTTATAATATATATAAACTTTTAGAAAAAAGAAGCGTGAGTTCCATTCAGTATAATACTGATATCTTTGAGAGAACGATGGATAGTAAAGTCATATTTTTTTCTCTTTATTTAAAACTAGTTTAAATACAACTTTTATTTTATCGGAATACAGAATATGTGACCGGTCTTCGTAATCTTCCTAAATTCTCAAAAATGTTACATATTTTTTCTACAATATATCTGCTTTCTCTCTCTCTCTCCCGAAAATCAACTCTCGAACCACTCAAGCTCATGGAACGATCTCTACCTTCGCTTTATGAAGTGTTAAATATATGAGAGATAAGGTTAAATAAGTACTAAATGATGATTAATCTCAACTTTCGCCAAGAATACACTTTGATTTCGAAAGAAGTAGACATTATTTTATGACCCGCGAAATATGAAAATTACTATTTTTTATTCTATTCTCTATATTCGCATATATTTTTCGAGAAGATTTTGAGGAATTTGTAAAACAAAATAAGCAGTGAGCTAAAAAGCAGCTATGTATAAACATATGTAAGAGCACAAAAATACCAAAAATAAGTTTCTTGTTTAGTCTTGATAGTAAATGAAAAAGTTTGGGAACTATAAGTCTTACAACCCCGGGGCTTTAGGATTTATTACAATGAGCCAAAATAATTTTTTGTTAATTGAGCTTTTTGATGGCTAATATATTATTTACAAATCTGTCAAACAACGTATTATTAATAGCATTAATTTAGAACGGTTTTTATGATCCGCATTTTTAAGAAGGGTCGCCACCTGACGAGAAATTTGTTTAAAATCAAATCTGTTGAAACAAAAAAACCAAATAAGTATTAAACAATTAACATATGTTAGAAAGGATCGCAAGTGTGGTATTAAATATGATAAATAGCGTTGCCAACCACTTTTTAGTAGGAATTAAATAAATAAAAATTGGTATTATATCACTTTGTAACAATTTAAATTTTAATTTTATTTGTATTAATAAAGGGGTAAATAACCACAGATTCAATATAGAGTTCTCACTTTGCTTAATACCTCAAATTAAGCGAGTATTCTGGACTAGAAGTTTGAAATAATATAAAATATTTTTTTCTATTTTTTTTTTTTGTAATTTTTCGATAGTTTAGGTATTGTGAACTAAAAATTTGTTAAAAGAAAATGTGTCATATGTATAAGATACATACATATTGGCTAATCGAAAAAGCCTTTTCGTATTTTGTCAATAAATGTCATTGCAGTCGTATATCTCCAGTGCTACCAATCACTTTGTGTTATACAATGGTACCTGTAGTGTTGGAAAGGTGAGACTTCAAGCTTCATTTAACCAAAATTAAAATAGGGAAGTTGAAAAATAGTTACAGCTCTTCAAAAATTAATGAAAATGATGAAAAAAATAAATGTTGTCCAAACAGTTTGATTAGAAATGCGAAAAGACTTTTTTGACTACCCAATATTTAAAAATATCTCTCGAATAGAATTCGAAAGAAGAATAACGAAGGATTTCACACTATTTTCAAAGTTGTAATCGGTTCAGTATGGTGGCAGCATGGTCGGTTCAGCCTTAACTTAAAACTGCACTTTTCGATGCTGTCATCAGTATATGAGTATATATATCTTTTTATCAAATGAACTGATATGTAAAGAGAGAATTTAAAAAAGTAAAAAACGAGTTATCACATTGAACTTTATTTTAGAAAGTTGAAAATAAAAGTTAAAAAAAAAAATAGTTGAATAAAACGTCGAAGTCTTTGGTGAATACATGAAAAAAAAATAAAAATTTGTTTCATAGACTTCTTCTGGGTTTAGTTTTTTCCCACAAATTTTTCCTAAAATTTTGCTCCAACAGACCATAATCACAAGCATTAAATAGAAAATCATTGAGATTAGTTACTGAGAATTAAGGCTTTTAAGCACCATTTAATGAAGAGCTCCCAGCAGGCTTCTCGGCGTTATTTTTATGTGCGTATCTTTCTACCATATACCGACTATATGCACCAACATTATCGAGTGCTTATCTGGAATATTAGCATAGCCGTCCTATATTGTCTACTGAATTCAGTTCAGATGTTCGTAATTTTACACAATTGAAATGTGCGGCTAATTAAAATTATATACAATCAATGTCTTGAGGAATTTCAACTGTAAATTTCATTGGTACGGTAGTTGGCATATTTGTAATTGCAAATACATACACACATACCACAAATATATATATCCGCATATAAACGTATGTATTTATAAACACATACATGTATACATACATGCAACATATCATATATACTCATTTGTGTGTGCTTACTAAACTTGAGACACTAATAATATAACGGTACTTAGTTACTAATCTTTGCAGTGGCACTCATGGTGTACAAGTAGACATGCATATTTGCTGGTGTTTGCTTGCAATCAGTTGCAATTTGCAACAGGCAATTATCAGTTGTCTCCCTTTGACTTCTTGGTATGACAGCCCAACTGCCCACTGTGGCATGCAACAAATGCAAACACACCCAGCATGCTACAACTTGACTTCTAGGCATCTCATGCAACTCAATGTATGCCAATGATGGCGAAATATTAATACTTTGTTGATTTTTTCTGAGTTTTTTCTTTTCTTTCTATTCCACATTTGGGTATTTGGTTATTTGGTACGCGGTAAGAATACTCATTTATTGCTGATGCTCCACCTAATGTTCGAATATTGCGAAATATTGCCTTAAGTTATGCAAACGCACACATACTTGCTTAGATACGTGCATTAATACATGCATAGATACAAAGATGAACTTGTAGATTTTGTTGAGTTTGCATTCTAAGTGTGGTTCTTGGAAACAATAACTGTTATTATAGGTGCGCTGTGTTTGTGGTAATTATTATTTGTTCTTGATCAAAGCTCTAATATAACTAATTAGAAATTATTAGTTTTGCAGCTACGAGTTGAGAATACGATGAGAATAAGTAGGTGGTCATTTTGTATGACTATACTAGATATATATAATAACATATATATATGTTGAGGTCATAGCTAAATTATTTTACATACAAATTATGTTACATATTATGAACATTTATATATATATATTAGGTTGGCAGTTTTTTTTTTTTTTTTTTTTTTTTTTTTTTTTTTGTGTGAGAGATACCCTAGAAGTTGCAGTTGACGTTTTGTGTTTCCCCAAACAAAAAGTATCCAACGGAAACAAGCTCTTTATTTTCAATTTTAAGCGTGCCTAAAGCATATTACTTTCAACTAAATATAACATGGGTTTTTGTGATATTTTCTATTAAACAGGTAACATTAACCTACAACCTTCAAAAAATAATATTCTAGTACAAAATTGTCCACTTTACAAAAATGATCCGAACATTTTTTCCATAAAAATATTTATTTAAAAGTTATGTGCAGTTAAAGTGATACATCAAGTGCCTTATTAATTTTGTGTTGCTCATACGYCTTGGTGTACTTTATGAATGCGCAGTACGTTAGATGCATAATTTCAATTGCTTATGCCTTTCATTTAATTAAGTTTAGAGAAAAATTTCATGAGATCTTAAATTATTAAATAAAAATAGAAAATAAAAAATTTTAAATTAAAATGTTATATAAAAATTTCATATTTTGTTTTAAAAGTATTTAGTCTATTTGTTTTGAAGTTAGAAAATTTTATCAAAAAATACCATATAAAATATATGGGAAAGTAAAGGTACGATTCAAATTGAAAATAAAGCGCTGGTTTCCATTAAACAATTTTCGTTTGGGCAGAAACTGAAACTTCTGGCGAAGTCTGCAACCCAACATAAGAAATAAAGAACACCCTAATATACAAATGTGTGTGTTTATATTGTTGTGTGTGTTATATTGTGTATTGTTTTGCTTAGCACATGTAGCAATTTCGTTTCGGCATAGCAATTATTCTATCAGGAATTCATGACACGACAGAGGCTAGAGCTATCGAATTTTGTTCATATACTGTACGTATGTTTATAAGAAAATATTTAGGGAAGTACATGTGTGGCCAAGATAGCTATAAATATTAATATAATATGTTAAGAAACTAACAACTATTGTGTTGAGCAACTAATATTTTAAGCTTGCGCTTCGTTGATAACAAGTAGATCAGGAAGTATAAAAATTTAACGCAATTCTTAGAAATTACACAAAATCAAAATCCGCCACTTGGAAGGAATTATTTGTATAAGTTTTGAATTTGGAATACTATTAATACAAGGTGTATAAGATAGCAATTACTTTGGAGCGATTTGACATTGAGTAAAATGGTACGAGTGATAGCATCTGGGATAACTTCCCCAATGTCCGAACTAACCAACAAACCAATAGAAACAATTAAACTCGGTGTGAAAAATTATCTTAATAACTACAATAGACTCGCGGAATGTCTTTTATAAAAACTTTCGGCTAGAAGTGGTGTAAATATGACAAATGGAAAAGAAACTTAAGGGGATATTCTAGTATAAGCAAAACTGAAAACTAATTTCATAAAATGGCTGCTACTCAAAAATAAAGACGTATTTTTCAATTTTAATTATTTTACAATTTTATCGAATTTTTTAAAAATATTAAAAATCATTTTTATACTCTT